TAATTCTGCCAAGCCCGTTCCCTTGGCTGTGGTTTCGCTAGATAGTAGATAGGGACAGTGGGAATCTCGTTAATCCATTCATGCGCGTCACTAATTAGATGACAAGGCATTTGGCTATTGTAAAATTATATTTTTGAAAAAGCCTTGGTACAGCGGATACTAACAATAAACATAGAGCATGAGGGGCAAAAAATATACGGCCGTCCACGAGACCGTGACCCAGGGACCGGCTTCATTGCAGTCTATTCCAAGTTCGCCTGCACTTCCACGCACCCAATGGCTTGCTTATTTCGTGGATCTTTCGGGTTCATATCAAGTAGTCCATAAGACGTCAATTGGATCTTTCGGGCTTCGATATGAAGCTTCATTTCTCATAGGTCTTTAAGGCCCAATGGGCCAAAGCTATCTTTCGGGCTGTATTGCCAGGGGTCTCCTAGCGTGGGTCGACGGTATTCCGGAAGCTTTCTCCATCACCATGGGTCACGGCGCGATCCAGGCCAACCGAACGAAGATGGAACGAAGAGAAGATCCAAAGGAAAGAGGTTCTGCACCGGGCCTTCCAAGGGCAACTTGGCTTGTGTTCTCATCCGGAGAGTCATCGGCGGAGACCCCCCGCGCACGGTTTCTGGTCCCCGCTTCATATGGTAGGATCTGTAACTGGAAAAGGGAGATTATAAGTGGAACCATCAATAATACTGGCTTCAAACCAAATACATAACATACAAGCAACAAACCCTACTATACACATACATACAAACAAACATACACAAGCATACAACCTACCTACGTTATACCCCCGGTACCCCTCATATAGACATCGTAGCATGCTAAGGAACCCTGCACCGTCAATAGGCACAGGTCCGAAATATCCCTCTCAGTAAAACCTAACCTACGGAGCCCAACTGCGGAACGCTTGTAGATGCACCCACGTTCTGTAAGGATAAGCGGCATATGCACAACAGTGGGCTTCCTCAGCGCATCGGGAAGAGATAGGCGAAGCACTCCATCGTTCACCTCTGGGTGGTCGTATTTACGAACTTTCTCCACCCACATGGCCTCCATCTTATCACCAGTAGTTACGGCGACGTCAACCAGCCTCACCTGACTAGGGGAGGCAATAACCAAATCAGGCTTACAGAAGCTTTCTGCATTCGCTATAACAGGCTCGACCCAGGCTTGATAGCCTTTCTTACGCACTATGGCGGCAACCCTTTTGACTACCCTATTATGACGAGCACAACGGGCGTCATGGGTGATGGCACATTTCTGTAGGATATGGGCGACCGACTCATGGTGCCCACAGTGTCCCCGACACAGAAGCTCCCTACCTTTACGCGAGGCACCCCTACTCGACCTAACCTTTGAAGGCAAAACACCAGCACGCAGCTTCAAACCCCTAATGTAGAGCCTAGGGAATACACCCTCAGGCCTACGCACCCAATTATAGCTAACTTTATCTACTAACCAAGGGCAAGTGCCCTGCAGATCATGCATTTGGATGTACTTCTTCAACCAGTAGTCCCTACCTTCTTTTTTAGAGCATATCTCTTGCCCACCTACCCTAATGGGTAGGTTGGCCACTCTCATATCCTTCTGCACCGTTTCTTGGTGAATCAGACTTCGTATCCACTCCTCAGGATAGGAGAGTATTCTACCAAACTTAGCTCTCTGTGCCAGGGGCACCGTGATACCAAGGTTCGGAACACCTAACCCGCCTTCAGCCGAGCCCACATATAGGAAGGCCAAGGATACATCCTTGGGCAACCGCAGCCATCTTCGGATCGCCTCCCGCGCCATCCTATCGAGCTTCTTAAGCGTATTGCGATGGGCATTGCCCACGATCAGCTCGTATTGTTATTTAGTCAACGCAAAGTCACAGAGGATTCTCAGCCGCTGCTGGGGCTTCAGTGGTGCCTTGCTGATCTCGGAAATCATACACTCAAGCCTACGCGTACTTTTAAGCGAAGACCTACCCTTCCAAGTGAAAGGGAGGCCCAAGTAGCGCACCTCTTCATCGACAGTCATAGCCGGTATTACCCCACCCCCACCTGGTACTCCCTCGGTTCAAGCACCGTCACCTTCTGCTTTCCCAATTTCCTGATGGTTAACGTTCTACATTTAGATGTATTCAACAACATACCAGAGGCCTCCAGCCCCATTTCTAGAACCTTCAGCCTAGCGTGCAGATCTACAGCAGTCTCGGTGACTAGGACCAGGTCATCCGCATAGGCAAGCGCCCCAATTGGTTTGCCCACCATAGCAGACTCCCCAAGCCCAATGCCTGAACCAGAGAGCACCTCGTCCATTACCATAATAAAGAGAAGTGGAGACAGGGGGTCCCCCTGCCTCACACCCCTTCCACACCTGATCCTCTCACCCTCTAACAACACTTCCGATTCCACGTACAACTTCCTGAGATAGCTTAGCATTGGCGCTGGGGCCCCATGCAACTGCGCCACCCGAAGCACTGTATCATGGGAGACCGTATCAAATGCTTTAGCCACATCCAAGAATGCAACCGCCGCATTAGCGACCTGTCCATGCACAGTACGCAACAGGGAGTGCAGCGCATAGGTCGCCTCCAGACAGCCGTCTCGTTTCTGAAATGCCACCTGAAGCGATGTCAATCTCAAATGAGACCTCCAACGAATGGCAAGTATCTTGTGAAGCGTTCTGATAACCACCGAAGCCACCGCCAACGGCCGATACTCCCCAGGACTCTGCGGACATACACACTTTGGGATCAGAGAGGTTCTGGCTAACGTTACCGCACTTGCCAACGCCTTAAGCAAGAGCATCAGATTAAATACCTGAGCTAACACCTTATGGTTAGCACGCCGGAGCATACTAACAGTGACACCATCCGGCCCAGGAGCGGTATTACCATTCTTCCGGAGCACTTCACCTATCTCCTCCACACTTACCGGCCGGATAAGGCCGTAATTTTCCTCACACTGCCCCACGGGTCTGCAGTCGATTTTACCCTGAGTCTGGATGATGGTCCTCCAGTACTCTAAACCCCCTCGATCAAACCCCCGTCCGATTTATAGACTTCCCGCCATGTACCGTCTAACACACACTTCGCTGCATCTTTAGGTTTCTTCCGGAACAGTGTTTGGATCTTTGCATAAGTAACCTTTCTAATACGCCTCAGCCCAACTGTCGGCTTAGCCGCTTTCCTCTCTCTACATTTCCACTTACATGGGAACCAATCCCGCATAATGGCTTCAAAGCGGGACTGGGCTTCCCGAAAGTCAACCAGCCCAGCCCTGAGGTTAAGAGCAAGATCCAGCAGAAGATCAGAGTGCAACCACGAATCCGAGCTAGCCACAAGCCCTTGTATAACAGTATCAAGCATTAATTCGAACCACTCTTTCTGCCTCCCACTAAGCAGAGGCTTCTCCGGTGAAGGTGGCACCAAATCCACCAACTCTTCCGACGAGGGGCCAACTCCTCCAGGGATTTCCGGCCCAACCAGCTCATCAAAAATACCACCATCCATATCCACCAACTCCAGATCCACCTGCTGCTCAGCAGGAGGAGAATCCCACAGACAGAGGGAGGGCGCACCACGTTGGACAGACCCTGCAGTCGGCTCAGGTAGCACCTTCGCCTTCCGCGACCCTCTCTTGATCTTACCACCGTCATCCTCAGGCCTGTGGCCTTTCTTCCGGTACTGAGTTAGCTGCCAACCAAGCTTTCGTAGCTGCTTCTTGATACCTTCAGCTGTGCGCCCAGGGAGGGCCGACTCTAGCTTCACATACACCTGTTGCTTTTCCATTCCCTGCTTAAACCAAAACTCCGCTTGTTCCAAGGCCACCTTACATTCACTCTGAGTCCATTCCCCCTTTCTTCTGGGTACATCCATCAAGCGTTCCTCATTGAGCTCAACAGGGTGCCTATGACGCTTGTGTTGCGCAAGGCCCCGCTTACTACGAAAAGAAGCACCACATAACAGACATACACATTCTCCACTAACCACGCTTTCCACATTCTCCCTCTCCAAGTCATCATCTCCCACCCTCTCCGGATTCAAACTGTGGGTGGACACAGTGCTCGAGGCACTGTTTATAGGTAACTTACTTTTTGGCTTTGTAACCCACAATACACTCATGCAGGGGGGTTGGCCCAACATGAGGTGTCCTGGCTCTTAGCTCAGAGCAAAGCACACCAACTCCAAGAATCCACAGCACCTCAGCGCAAATAGTCTCAACGACACGATCGACGACCGCGCGTTTCAACCAAGGTCAATGCACCCACAAATGCACACACACCCGGCCCAGACCCGCCAAGGCAGATTCAGGTCCAGGCGCATGAACACATGCAGACACAGGCCCGACACATACGCAACCCCCGGAACGCAGCCTGCAGCAACGAACCAGGTGAAGCGCACATGGGTTGTCACGCATAGCATTCGAACCAAGAGACAAGTGCAACACATGCCACACACCTGACCCCTACCCCACCAGGGCAGAAATGAGCCAGGCATATGCACACATGCAGGCACAAGGCGGCAATGGGTACGGTCTGACGGACCTAGCCAAAGCCTTAAGAGAAAGCATATGAAAACTCGAAGTGGCACACCCGCTCCTAACCAGCGGTCGCCACATGGAGGTGTCCAGAACATTAAAACTTTCCTCCCACACCTTCCCGCTAAGGCGGTGATCCTCAAGGGACCACTCTTGAAGCCGGTAGCATATACCAACGATCATCGTTCAGCTCAGTCGGATGCTTATGTCTCTTATGCTGGCCTAAACCCCGTTTCGTGGGGAAGCGTAAGCCACAAAAACACTCAAACCAACTACCAGTAGCACAATTCTCTGAAGCGACACCTTCCGCGTCTAAATCAACATCTCGCACTCTCTGAGCACTCTCATCCGCAATCTCTATCACTTCCACAGTACCAGTATCGGAACTACCAGCAGATGTTTCACCACGGTCTATGAGAGAGCTCGAGGCCCTCTTGAAATTTAATGTACTTTGTTTAGTTTTAGTGACCGTCAAATCCGCCCACGAACGGGGAGTCAGCCCGCCGTGGGGTGTCCTGGGTCTTAGCTCGGAGACAGGCAAAGCCCATCTCCTACCCCGGCGGTCGCCACGAGGAGGCGCCCAGGACATGTAACCAGACTCCCACACCTTCCAGCCAAGGCGGTGATCCTCAAGGGACCACTCATTATACCGGTAGCATATACCAACAGCCGAAGCCGAAGGCAAAGCATTAGGCACCAGGGTCTGAAGATGTTAGAGAGTCATAGTTACTCCCGCCGTTTACCCGCGCTTGATTGAATTTCTTCACTTTGACATTCAGAGCACTGGGCAGAAATCACATTGCGTCATAACCGATCAGTGGACATCGCAATGCTTTGTTTTAATTAGACAGTCGGATTCCCCAGGTCCGTGCCAGTTCTGAGCTAGCCGTTTAACGCCAAACGAAGGAAGCAAGGCCGCGTCACGCACACGGTTTCCCGCACACGCTGCTAACCAGGCAACACGCTAGCTGAAGTCGCCCACGATCGGCCTGGTCAGAGTCCAGTGATTCCATAAGTCCCGGCTGGTCGAAGCAACCAGGACAAACAGAAAAACCAGCCCCCAACTTGACCGAAACGTTTCTGACTCCAGCCCATTTGGCTCGGCCCTCAGAGCCAATCCTTTTCCCGAAGTTACGGATCCAATTTGCCGACTTCCCTTACCTACATTGTTCAATTGCCAGAGGCTGTTCACCTTGGAGACCTGATGCGGATATGGGTACGGCCTGCCACGAAAATTATAATGCCTCGCTCGGATTTTCAAGGGCCGACAAGAGCGTTCCGGACACCACAAGAGGGGTGGTGCTTTACGGAGGCTAGTCCCCTATCTCCAGACAACCCGATTCCAGGGGATGGTGCACTCCTAATAAAGAAAAGAGAACTCTTCCCAGAACTCTTGCCGACGTCTCCGAGGCAGGCAGCCATAGGCCGCATGCATGTCGCGGGTATCAGACAGGTAGGCACCCTGGTCAACGTGCGCTGTGCGTAGCGGACAAGTCCACAGGCACAGCCGAAAAGAGTCAGTGACTCGTACTGGTAATAATGTCAGCCACCAGCTGATCATTTGGATTCGTGAATGCTGCATGAACCACTGTTCAGCATACTGTACATCCCAGAGGGAAACAACAGCAGGGCGGTGGCCGGGCCGTAGCCCTTGATATTCACCACTCATTGAGCCTAGTACCGTTATGTTTACAGTACACCCCGTCCCCACAACAGGGGCAGGCAGCCATAGGCCGCATGCATGTCGCGGGTATCAGACAGGTAGGCACCCTGGTCAACGTGCGCTGTGCGTAGCGGACAAGTCCGCAGGCATAGCAAAATAATGACGAGTAAGTGGACTCGTACTGGTAATAATGTCAGCCACCAGCTGATCATTTGGAGTTGTGAATGCTGTAATGATCCTTCCGCAGGTTCACCTACGGAAACCTTGTTACGACTTTTACTTCCTCTAAATGATCAAGTTTGGTCGTCTTCTCAGCACCGGTCGAGTCGCCGAAGCAACTACAATGGCACCAATCCGAGGACCTTGCTAAACCATTCAATCGGTAGTAGCGACGGGCGGTGTGTACAAAGGGCAGGGACGTAATCAGCGCAAGCTTATGACTTGCACTTACCAGGAATTCCTCGTTCACGGGGAATAATTGCAAGCCCCGATCCCAGTCACGACGGTGATGATTCAGTTTGCCCAACCCTCTCAGGCCAGGTTTCCAAACTCGCTGAAACCGTCATTGTAGCGCACGTGCGGCCCCGGACATCTAAGGGCATCACAGACCTGTTATTGCTCATTTTCGTGCGACTGTCTCGCCGCTTGTCCCTCTAAGAAGTAAACACCTGCGCAGCACCCGCCGGCGAACGACACCACCGCCTCGAAGGGCAATGAGCACCGTCACCCGCACGAGCACACAGGACAGGCTTACTATTTAGCAGGCCAAAGTCTCGTTCGTTATCGGAATTAACCAGACAAATCGCTCCACCAACTAAGAACGGCCATGCACCACCAACCACCGAATCAAGAAAGAGCTTTCAATCTGTCAATCCTCACGGTGTCCGGGCCGGGTGAGATTTCCCGTGTTGAGTCGAATTAAGCCGCAGGCTCCACTCCTGGTGGTGCCCTTCCGTCAATTCCTTTAAGTTTCAGCTTTGCAACCATACTTCCCCCGGAGCCCAAAGACTTAAAGGTTTCCCGGGGACTGCCCGCGGGGACAATAAAAGAACCACCGCGGATCGTCAGTTGGCATCGTTTATGGTCAGAACTAGGACGGTATCTGATCGTCTTCGAACCTCTGACTTTCGCTCCAGATCAATGAAAACATCCTTGGCAAATGCTTTCGCTGTAGTTTGTCTGGCGGCGATCCAAGAATTTCACCTCTAACACCGCCATACAAATGCCCCCGTCTGTCCCTCTTAACCATTACTTCGGATCCGAAAACCAACAAAATAGAACCGAAGTCCTATTTCATTATTCCATGCAAGAATTTTCAGGCTCTGTGGCCTGCTTTGAGCACTCAAATTTGTTCAAAGTAAACGTGCCGTCCGCATCCGACACCCGTTGAAAGGCATCGAGAAGGATGACAATTAAAGTGTGAGACGAACCCACGGTGGCGCCTTACTTATCCCTCCTATCATGGCCTCCAGCTCCGTAGTAGTCTTAGGAGCTTCCGTCTCCGGTGTATGGTAAACCGAGGTAGCGGACCTCCTCGTTGGGCATCACTCTCGGTATAATTTCACCTCCAGTACGACTAGCTTCCTCTTCCCTAGTTTCCTGATCGTAATGGACCGGCACTTGGCGATGTTCAATGCCATGCCAGCCTATCGTAGTCCTTTAGTTAAGCCTTTCAGCTTAGCTTGCAGCTCTGAGAGAGAGTTAGCCACTAGCACCAAGTCGTCCGCATAGGCCAGCGCTCCATTCGGATCGCCAGCCACAGCAGATTCCCCGGGCCACTGTCCCGAAGTCGCAAGGGCCTCGTCCATAGTCATAATGAAGAGTAGAGAAGACAGGGGATCCCCTTGCCTCACTCCCCTACCGCACGTAAGACGCTCACCTTCCAACAGTACTTCCGATTGAGTGTACAGTTGGTCCAGATATCGCAGTAGAGGCCCAGGAGCACCCTGGCTCTGCGCCGCCTGAAGCACCGAGTCAAACGAAACAGTATCAAACGCTTTGGCTAGGTCCACAACGCAACCGCTGCATCCGAACTGCGCATCTGAGCCCGACGCAACAAACAGTGCAAGGCGTAGGTAGCCTCTAGACACCCATCCCGCTTCTGGAATGCTACCTGAAGCGATGTTAGCTTCATACTTGGTCTCCAACGACGCGCCAAGATCTTGTGGAACGTCCTTATTAGCACTGAGGCCACAGCTAACGGTCGGTATTCGTTTGGGTGTTCCGGCTTGACTACTTTGGGTATGAGAGATATACGCGCTAACGAGGCAGCCTTAGTATGCTGCCTGGAGCACCAGCATCAGGTTGAAGACCTGCGCTAGCACACTGATGTTCATACGCCTTAGCTCTAGTGTGGTCACAGCATCTGGTCCTTACTATAGTGTCGAGCATTGCTGACCACCACTCCTGATCTACACCATCTCGCTCTGCCCTAACCGGCGAGGACGGAAGCACTAAGTCTACCAACCCTTCCAGGTAAGCAAACGCAATGTCCATCAATGCCGGAAAAGTCAAGAGGTCGACGGGTCCTACACCAGAGGGGGATCCGCCCAAGTCCATGGCGTGACTAGGCGTATCCGAGGCTAGAGGAGATCCTAAAGGCGTTCGGATCTTGGTCCTCTTGGCCACCCTCCCTAAGTCTTCCACTTCGACTGGAGAACTTTCGTGTGCAGTCCG